CTGTTTCACTTATTTCTGCTCTACTCTTTATTATTTCCTCCCCTATGCTTGCTTTGAGTTTAGTTTACTCTTCGGTTTCTGGTTTCTTAAGGTGGAAGGTTAAGTTTTTGATTTGAGATTGTTTTTTAGTATATAACTATAAAGCTATTTTATACTATACAACTATTTGACTATTATGCAATTATTTTTTAAAGTAGGCTCCATGCCCAACATGGGGCTTGAACTCATGACCCCAAGATCAAGAGTCACATGCTCTACTGACAGAGCCAGCCAGGTGCCCCTATTATACAACTATAAATAACTATAGTTAAAACTATACAACTATTTACAAATATAAATTTTCCTCGAACACTGCTTGAGCTACATCTCATAAATTTTGGTGTGTTGTGTTTTCATTTCAAGGTCTTTTCCAAATTCCCTTGTTCTCTTCTTTGACTCAGCAGTTCTTTAGGAGTATGTTGTTTAATTTCCACATATTTGTAAATTTCCTAAATTTCCTTTTATTATTGATTTGTGATTTTATTCCACTGTGATCTGAGAATATGCTTTCTATGATCTCAATCCTTTTAAGTTTCGTGAGGCTCTTTTTATGGCCTGGCATATGGTCTACCCTGGAGAATGTTCCATGTACACTTGAGAATGTATGTTCTACTATTGATGGGTGGAGTGTCCTATAGATGTCTTTTAGGTGTAGTTTATGTCTTCTATATCCTTGCTTAGCTTTTGTGTAATTTAGTCTATCCATTAAGAAAGTTGAGTTTTGGGGCATCTGGGTGGCTCAGTCAGTTAAGCATATGCCTTCGGCTCAGGTCATGATCTCAGGGTCCTGTGATCTCAGGGTCCTGGGATCGAGCCCCACATTGGGTTCCCTGCTCAGCAGGGAGTCTGCTTCTCCCTCTCCCTTTGCCCCTCTGCCCCTCCCCCTGCTCATGCTCTCTCTCTCAAATAAATAAGTAAAAATCTTTAAAAAACGTGGAATATTGGAGTGTCTAACTATTATTGCTAAATTATCTATTTTTCTCTCATTCTACCAATTTTTGGTCCAAGTATTTTGAGTCTATTATTAGGTGCATATATGTTTATACTTGTTATTTATTTTTGATGTATTGATGCTTTTATCACTATAAAAGTTCCTTTATTGCGCTTGTAACAATTTTTGTCTTAAAGTCTATTTTGTCTGAAGTTAGTATAGATAGCCACTCCAGTTCTTTTTTAGCTGCTGTTGGCATGGTATATCTTTTCCATACTTTTACTTTCAAACTATTTGTGTTTTTGTCTAAAGTGAATCTCTTATAGAAATCATATAGGTAGATAATATTTTTTAAAAAAATTCCATTTGCTAATTTCTGACTTTTAATTGGAGAGTTTAATCCATTTACATTTAATGTAATTATTTTACATTTACCATTTACTGTCTTTTATATATATCTTACGTCTTTTTTGTTTCTCAGCTCCTACACTATTATTGCCTTCTTTTGTATTAAATTATTTCATTATGCTGTTGTTTTTAAATCAGATGGGAAAAATAGGTTGATAAACAAAAAGTACATTTATATTGTCTTTTATTTTTATCTATATAGTTACCTTTACTATGTCAAGGTTAAATATACTTTGCTGCTTTTTATTTCTTCATGTGGATTCCAATTATTGCCTAGTGTCTTTTGATTTTGTCCTGAAGGACTCTTTTTAGTATTTCTTTTCAACTGCAGAATTTCTATTTGGTCCCATTTAATAATTTTTATCTCTTTTATCAATATTCTCCATTTGGTGAGATACCATTCTCATACTTTCCTTTAGTTTTTTAGACATGGTTTCCTTTAGTTCTTTGAACATAATTAAAATAGCTGATTTAAAGTCTAGTTAAGTCTAATATTTGGGCTTCCTCAGGAACAGTTTCTGTTGATTGCTCTTTTTTTTCTGTGGAAGGGTCACAGTTTTTCATTTCTTTGTATGTCTCATAATTTTTTGCTGAGAACTGGACATTTCAAATATGTGGCAATTCTGAGATTAGATTCTCCCCCACTCCTCAGTTTGTTGTTGCTATTTGTTTGTTTGTTTAGTGACTTCTTTAAAAAAAATTTTTTTTAATTTCTATTTTATTTTTTTAAAAGATTTTATTTATTTGAGAGAGTGAGTGAGAGAGATCACAGAGGGAGAGGGAGAAGCAGACTTGCTGCTGAGTGGAGAGCCCGATGTGGGGCTTGATCCCAGGACCCTGAGATCGTGACTTGAGCCAAAGGAGACACTTACCTGACTAAGCCCCCGCCCTGCCGTGCCTGTTTAGTGACTTTCCTGATCTAATTCTGTAAAGTCTGTATCTCTGTCATTTGTGACCACTGAAGTCTCTGCTTGGTTAGTTTAGTGGCCAGCTAATGGCTGGACAAAGATTTCCCTCAATGCCTGAAACCAATAAGCCTTTCAGTCTTTGCTGAGGGCACGAAGTATATGTTGGGGCCCACCTTCAGCATTCAACTGGGCAGTTTACAACTCTGCCTTAGCCTTCACTCTGCTTACACAAGCCTGAAGTTCAGTCAGAAGTGAGAGCTTAGGACCTTCTTAGTTCTTCCCTGAGCAGGCAAGCAGTCCTGGGCTTTTGCATGGCCTTCTAGAGTCCCAGGAATATGTTGGTCCTTTTCAAAGCCCCTAAAGACATCCCATTCCTCAATTTTTCCTTTTAAGCTTTTTGATTCATCTCTTGTTGCTCTCACTGTTATCCATTGCCCATGGCAATGACAGCTATGATACCATAGGCAACTGCCATAGTAGGACATTTGAAAAATACCCCCTAAGAGAGACTTTTAGCATTGGGTATGTATGAGTGAGGTCACAAAAAGACAAGACTTTCAAATGGAGTCTTCCAGAGAATGAAGGTTTGAAGGAGCTCCAGCCCTCTCTGCTTCTTAATTACTGGGAATGTGGGATGTTATTTTTCAAGGCAGCCATGGAATTATGGTATAGGGGTCATGGGCTAGGATAAGTTAAAACACCACAAAGCTCACTGTTCTTACCAAAATTCTTGACCAAATGCCCCTGGGTTACTGCAAAACTGTGGTTAATTGACAGAGTTCTGAAAAATTTTTGCTAGTTTTTTCATTGTTTTTATGGAGGGACAAACTTTCAAAGGTTCTTACTCTGCCATTTATACTGATATCATTCTTATTATGTTTTTACAACTTTGTCCTCTGGAGCCAGAGTGCTGGCTGGGGACACCTGCATGGCTCTGACACCCACTTCTGCAAGACAGGTTGCAGAACTGGGGGGCTGGGGCACAAGGCTATACAGAGATTTGGGATTTGGGCTCAATCAGACTCTAATTTCCTTTCTCAATTTCTAGCCCCTGGTACTTCCTTTTACAGTAAATATTTGTTGAATTGATTAGTGCTCGGGAACCTTGGACTTGAACTTCAGTTACAAATTATGATGCACAAAACACTGTGGCTATAGCCTCCGTCTCTGGTTTACCTGCAATTGCAGAAACCCTAAATAAATGTTCCCTCCTTAAATGAAATTGTGGCTCTTGGTGAGTTCTGGGTTCCAGAGTTCAGAATTTCCCCATGGGAGGGGCTGAGTGGGGCTGGTAGGAGAGGCCAGTCAAGGCCCTGGGGCATTGACTTCAAGATGCTGTAACAAAACTTTCTAGTAAGCTTTCTTAAGCATTCAGCTATCCACATCAGAGAGTAGAGGTGATCTTTGTGCTTGTTGGCTCCTCCAACCCCAGCCTCTCTATGCCCTTTTGCCCCAAAGCCACCTTTAAAAAAATATTTGTTGAATTGATCGGTGCTTGGTACTTTTGGAATCGAGCTGCATTTATAAGTTATATTGCACCCAATGCTTGTGGTCATCTGGCTGTGTTTTGAAGCTGACCCCCAGGGTGGTTAATGAGTTTGGATTTGCTGGATGAGGTATGCTTCTTGGTATGTGGGCCCGGCATCTGAGTGCCAATGGATCCTCTCCAAAGTTTCCCTCCACCCCAGTGTAGGAGGACCCCGCTGTTCAAAATGATAGCTACTGTTTTTTTCTTTTGAAAGGCAGAGGAAGATACTGCTCATGCTTTCTGACTTCACTAGAAAGGTTTTTCAGGGAAATGGAATCAGTGTTAAAGATCCCCGTGAGTGCTCTGGATCCTTTTTTTACTGCTGACCAGAGCGCCCACTCCGCCAGCCGTGGCCACAGCTCAGACGCTGACCTTGGGTGTTTGCACTTGGATCAAAATAACCCTGCTGATTTCTTTAGGTAAAAATGCATGGAAATCGTGCCTGGCGGTCTTCTATTAAACCCTGCTGCTTCTGCTTTTCCCAACAAGTTGGGGGATAACCTGTTCTCTGAGCTTTGACAGCATGGACCTCTTTTGGGTGCTTGGCAATTTGTTGGTCGGATCCAGGGGACCAAGGCTGCCCTGGTCTGGATCTCCAGGTGGCATTTGCAGCGCAGGCTCTCAGGAAAGGGAACAAAGCAGAAGGTGGGCATGTGTGGGACTTCCTCATCAGCTTCTTAACTGTTTTCTAGGATTCCTAAAGGAGATCAGTTCCATACTGCCCTCCTCAGCCAAGAGTCCATCATCAGCATGTCAGGGGGCTTAGGGTTCCCTCTCAGGCTCCTTTGAGCCTGGGACCTCTGGGCATCCTGGCCTGCCACTATGGACCTCACCTCAGTGCTGTTTGGGACCTTCCCAGCGAGTCCCCTCCCCAGCCTGGACCCAGCCCCGCCAGCCTCTCATTTCACTGTGCTGCCCCCGCCGCGCGAACAATATCCTTTCTATTTGGAGTTGACTCCGCTGCCCTTTGGAGATCGCAGTGTGTAACGTGAGCTCCTGTCCAGAGGGAGTGGGGGGAGAGGCGCCCCCTGCATGCCGGCCTGTCCCGTCGCCGGCGCGGGGCTTGACCGGAGGTGGCTGCCGGGCGCCCTGCTGCTCTCGCCACCCCCTCTGACGCCGGAGGCCGGGGTGGTCGCGGGTCCGTCGGAGCAGGGCCGTCCGGCAACCGGAGGAGGAGGCCCGCACCATGGCAGCCCGGCTGGGAGCCCTCGCCGCGTCGGGGCTCTACCGGCGGCGCCAGCACCGGCAGAGCCCGCCGCCCGCCGCGCCGGGGTAGGTGGCCAGGGCCGGGCGGGGTCGGCAGGGACAATGGCCGGAAAGCTGCGGCTGCCGGCCTTTCCTCCGACACCCGGCTTGGCCCTTCCGACGGCAGGATCCCGTCCGCCCGGGGCGTGGGGACAGAGCCTGGGTTGGCGATAAGGTTGGGGGTAGGGCGCGATTCGTCTGGTGGGCTTGATGTCACCTGGGACCAACATTCTTGGGCAGGACGCTGAGAATGGGGTGTTAGAGTTAGGTTGTCCCATGGAACTCCCATTACTACGTTCAGACTGGGATCATTTCATTGCCACTTTAGAGATGAGCAAACTGAGTGGTGGAGGAACCTGCTGGACATCACCCATCTTCACCCATCCAAAAATGACTACGCTGTGATTTGAAGCCAGTTTGGACTGACTCTGAAATCTGAACTGCTTTATCTCATGGAGAATTACCAGTGTAGACAATTGATGAAAGCCTCCTTTGGGGCAGGAAGGGGAGCCTGTGGGCTCAGGAGGCAGCTCAGGGCATCTGAGGAGATGAGTTAACCTGGGGTGGGGAGGGTCCGGGAGGGCTTGGAGATGGTGATGGAGCCACTAGTGTGGGTGTCAGGGGCTGGGGGCTGGGCCCCAGGGGCCATCGAGGTGGAAACTTCTAGTAGAAAGTTGGGGAGAGAGTGATGAGGGCTGTGAACTTAGGGTCATTGGCATGAAAATGACGGGTGCAGTCCCAGAGGAGGAGGTGGGGGAGGAACAGCGGGAGAGGACCCTGAGGTTGGGAGGAGGGGGTGGGGAGTCAGGAAGAGACAGGGAGTAGCAGTGACAGAGGTGAGGGGGGATCTGGAGGACCCAGGGAAGAAAGGAAGTCCGGGGGGCTAATGCTACGTGGGGAAAATCCAGCCTGCTCTGAGCTCACTGTGTTCCCCCATGGTCAGAACAGCCTATTGGAGAGGCAATTAGGACTGAGCTACCAGAGACATCTGGGGCAAAGGACAGAGCAAGGAGCAGAGCATTGGTGGGGGGCGGGGGTGGGGGGCAGAGCGGGGAACACAGGCTGCTGAGCCGCCCCTGTTGCACACCCGGGATGGCAGTCCCCTTATGCACCAGGACGGGGACCGGGCAAGCCCACTGCTCAGGTGGGGAGCCTGAGGCTCAGGATGCCAAGAAACTCACCTGAGCGTGGCAGAGCTGGAAGGGGACCCCTCACCGGTAGGCCTCTGGATGTCCTCGGACACTCGTGGAGAGAGGTGTGGTATGGCTCCCAGGGCAGTGAGAGGCCAGAGGCCATGCTGGAGAGGGATTTCACGGTATAGACAAGGCCAAGATGCAAGGAGGGCACATGGGTGTGGTCATGAAAATCAGGCTTCAGGAAAGTCCCCTGCACGCAGGCACATATGTTTATGTGCTACTTGTCTTTATTTTTCTGTGAACTGCTGGCCTGTGCCCTCCCTCAGCCCTCTGTTATCCGCGGGACGGTTTTAAAGTGCACCTGCTTCTAAGTCAGTGAAGCTGCCCGAGCAAAGAGGTACGGCTGGGGCCTCAGGAAAAGCCATGTCCCACAGGCTCCAAACAGACTGGGAAGATGTTTCTGATGGTGTCAATGCCTTGCGTGTAGCAGCCCGAGGCAGCATTTAATTTTCCAGTGTTCCCAAGGCTGAGGGTGGACCTGGCTTGGTGTAAATTCTTGTTTCCTGTGTGCAGCCAGGTACCCTCATGAGGGGGTGGCAGGGAGGGGGCCCAGGCGGTGCGGGGGGCGTCTTCCACTCGAGCTTTAGAGGTCGTGCTGTGGTGGGATCCCTCTTTTCTCGCTGCAGTTGGAACAGTGCCTGGGCATAGACCAGGTTCTCAGTAAAGATGTGTCTGATGAAGGCACGGGGTGGGGGGTGGGGACTGCGACCGGCTGCCAGTTATGGAGCTGTTATGGGCTGTGCTCGCAGGTGTCACCTCACTGAATCCTCCCGGGCGGCCCCCGAGGTAGCTGTTGCTAGTCCATTTTACAGATGAGGAGGCCCAGGTTCAGGGAGTACTTTGCAGCAGAGCACATAGCCACACCTGAGCCAGGTGGGCAGCCTGGTCTGCCTGGCCGTACAGCACATGCGTTGGACTGATTGCTGCTCAGGCGGTGTAGCTTCAGTAACACTGACTTATTCTTAAGTGTGAACAGACCCCTGTGGCGGGCCCCTGCCTTTTCCCAAGCCCTCACCCTATCTCTCTAGGCTCAGATGGGTGTGAGGCTGGAGTGGGGCAGGGTCTAGGGTTGTTCTTCTTTCTTTTTTTTAAAGATCTTATTTATTTAGTTGAGAAAGAAAGAGAGAGCACAAGCAGGGGGGGAGCGGCAGAAGGAGAGGGAGAAGCAGGCTCCCCGCTGAGCTGAGAGCCCGATGCGGGACTCGATCCTAGGACCCTGGGACCATGACCTGAGCCGAAGGCAGATGCTTAGCCAACTGAGCCACCCAGGCGCCCCAGGGTCTAGGGTTGTTAAGAAAAACCCAAACAAACAACGGAGAGTCTTGAACGGCTGTGCCTGTATAAAGCCACCACGAACTGAGGGGACAGGAGAAAACATGGTCCATCCTGTGTGACCCTTAGCAGCTTACTGATCCTCTCTGTACTTCAGTTTCCTTATCTGGAACCAGCAACCTCTCCTCACAAGAAGTGGGCACAGAGAGGGCTCCCCCCATCCCGCCCCAGTCATTGTAAAGTTCGGTGACATCTTGTCAGCCAGTGATATCTTGCACAAGCTCACAAACTGGCTTGTGTCGCGCTTTCAGGATTGAGGGTGTTTTGGGGTGCTGGGAAGGGCTGGAGAAGAGGCACGAGATGGTGTGCTCTTGTACACCCTCTGGTCACTGGCCATGCCCTTGGCAGCATGAGTGTCGTCCGGCTGGGGCAGGATGGTGGGGTCTCCTTGGGGGAATAACTAGACTGACTTTGTGCTCCCCATTCTTGGCTGGAATGTGTGAAGGAGGATGAGGAATGTCCATGTCTCCCACCCTTTGCCCTCTGGCAGGGAGCACGGGCAAGCTGCAGGCCTTCCCCAGCACTGGGCTGGGGAGGAGGTGCTCTGGAAGGCTCCCAGAGTTGCAGGGAAATGAGGTCTCTTTACCCAGTGCTTAGCCTGCCTGGCCCTGGGCTCAAGGCGCTGCACGCTCTGAGCTCTTCACCCCAGCTCCGTGAGGCGGTAATTCGTACTCGGGCGCACCTCTTTGCAGATGAGGCCCAGAGAAGCTGCTACCCTTCTCCAGGTCCCCCAGCTGATGGCGGGCTCTATCAGATTCAACATGGAGGGGTGAGCCCGGAGCCCCCTCTTGTGTCATTGGCTCCTGCAGGAGACGGCTGGCATTTCTCTGATGGTGACATGGTTTATTTAGGCACATTTGCATGTCTGTCCATCCCTCTGTCTTAGGCCAGTGGGTTGGAGTGTTGTCTGTGGTCCCAAGCAGGGTGGCGTGGGGATGCAGTCCCAGGAGTGCCCTGGGGGTGCTGCTGCCCGCGAGGACTTGGGCTGGAGCGGCCAGTGTGTGATTCCCTCCACACCCCACCTTCCTCTGCCAGGGTTTGTGCAAGGCATGTAGGAGACAGATGGTAAAATCCTCAGTCCGAGGTGCCCAGGGACCCAGCCGGGGAGCTAGACACAGACCAGTTAAAGACCAGCTGCTCTGCTTAGGGGACCAGGTGAAGATGAACAGGAAGGTAGGGACTGGCCGGCTGCTGTGGGGGTGGTATCTGTTAGGGTCCTGGCCAGGGACGCAGTCACTGTGAGATGGAATCACAGGGGAGAGTTTAACAGAGGGTCTACTTACAAGGGTGGAACGGTTGAAGGCTGGTCAAGTGTCTGGGCTAGTGGCAAACGAGTGACAGTGGCTGTGGGGGTGGGCCACCTAGGAGATGTGGCTTTGGCAGAGAAGGCAGCCTTCTGGCAGCGAGTGGAGGTGGGAGTTGGGTCAGCCCCACTGGGGGCCAGAGGGCAAGGGGCCTTGGGAGGCACAGGGGCTCTGCTGGCATTCACTTGTTAGGACCCAGGGCTCTGGGTTTAAGTCGCAATCCAAAAGCCTGGGGGCTGGACTTGAATCCTTGATTTGGCTTCATTTTCTGGTTCCTTTGAGTGGGGAATTCCAGATCCAGAGTCACAGGATTTCCTGTTGATTTCTCACTTCTCCAAGACCAGCAAGGTCTTGTGCACAGCCGGGAGTTGGAACTTCCTTCCACCACCTTGGGTGTGTGTTGTGGGAGGACAAGGCCACTAGACTCACAGGGCTCTGCAGTGGGAAACTATGCCTGTGTTGACGGGTCCAGCCCAGCCCTCCATCGCGGCTTAGGCGGTAGCTCCTCAGCCGCGTCTGGCCTACCTTGTGGAGGCTGTTGGGGAGGGTGCCAGGTGTGTGTTGGGCGGGGGTGGCTGCTTCGTGCAGACCCTCCCTTGCATCTTGGGCTCTGCCTGACTCTTCCTGCCACCTTCCTACTTCCTTGCACCGGTGGCCGGTACGTGGACAGAGAAGGTGGCTTTGGTCCCCAAAACACACCCGAGGGCAGGCTGAGACATGCAGCAGTGCCTGGCAAGGCTTCTGAAGAGCCCTCTGGCCCTGCCCCTCCCTGCCACATGGTTTCCCAGGCTGAAGAGAGAGGGCGTCCTGCTTGGGGCCCCCAGCCCAGCTTCAGCCTGTGTGTGCACCAGCAGCCCTGTTAGATCCACTGTCCCTAGCCCACACCTGGACCCTGGGCCGGCAGAGCCCTCTTCCACCTCCTGAGCTCATCCTGCTTAGGACAGACACCTGAGCACCCCAGCCAGAGCTTCACTCACTCGAGAACTCCTCTCACAATGCTGAGGCAGCCAGGGAGGGATGGGATTCATACCCCAGCAGACAGAACAGGCTGGAAAGACATTCTCAGGAGTAGGCAGCTTTTGTGCAGTCCCTCTATGCGCCTACCTGACGTTGGCAGCTGGTTGCATCTCTCCTTGCTGAGCCTGACTGTCCTTTGCCCAGATATCCAGGCAGCCACCACCCATCCATTGGGGTTGACACTTGAGACTGTTTGCTACCCATATAGCAAGAGGCATTGGGTATCAGCGTGTTGGAAGGTCATAGAGGCTGCCAGTCCGACACAGCTCTTCCGGGCCACGCCTCAGGGCCCCTCAGCATGGGCCTGGCTCAGTGTGGGCATTTTCCCTTGTGGTTCAGTTTGGACTCTACTCCTCCCAAAAGGAAGCTTGCCACTTAACCCTGGGACGGTGTTGCCCACCCTGGAGGGGGAGATTTGCTCCCAGCCTGCTCCTATCCCAAAGATTCACACTCTCACCTTCTCCATGGTAGGGTGGTTATGTTTTTTGGGGGGCAGGTGATTTGCAACTAACTCCTGGTGCAGAGGAAAGACCCATTGCAGTCCGACCAATCTGGGTTCAAATCTGGACTCTGTCATCTGCTGTGTGAGCTTGGGCAAGTTGCCTAACCTCTCTGAGCCTTAGGTCTCTCATCTGGAGGGGAGGGTTGCTTCAGGGATTAAATGAGTGGATTACAGAGCTACTGATTTGTGCCTGGGTGAATTCTATACCTGAGAGACTCTGGTTCCCCGAGATGAGGTGATAGGAAGCACGAGAGGGAGCTGAGGTGGCCACAGACACCCCAACACATGGGCAGCATGATGAGGACTGAGCAGCCTGGGAACCAAGCAGAGATGTTGGCAACTACTGCACCATCCTTTGTGGGGGCTTACTTGTGGGCCAGGCATGAGCTGAGTGCTGACACGTGTCCCTCATCTGACTGGCCTGTCACCCATCTATGGTCTTTCCACAGCTGGGAGTCTAGACCCAGAGAGTGAGGTACAGCCCAGGCCACCGTGAGAGTGCCGGTCTTGAGCCCTCGCGGCTCTGACTGGTGTGTGCCTGGCTATGGCCCGGCCGTGTCTGATGCTCCATGGAAGTGCCTGGGGGCTGCAGGGCGTGGCGGAAAGATGGGGGCTTTAGAGTCTGGAGGGGTGCTGGTTTCTAATCCAGGCTTTGCTTCCACCCACTGTGGCCCTCGGGAAGGACACTAACTCTCTGCAGGCCTTGGCTTGTCCATCTGTAAAATGGGGATGCTGTGTTGGCCTAGTAGGGTTGTCGTCTGGGAATACATCCTGTAGCCCCTGGTGTGCGCTGGCACTTAGGATGCCCGTGGGGCACAGAAGCTTCGGCGGGTGTGCAGGGCAGCTGTGCAGGCTGACCTGAGCCCGTGCCAGGCAGCTGGGCCCCGACTGCGCGTTGCTGAGTCCCCACGGCGCCAGGACTGTCATCAGGGCGAGAACAGCGATTTTCCTTACTCTGGAGAGCATTTTAGCTTTCTAAGGAGGGAGGTGTGCCCCTCGAGTGCAGCCCTCCAGGCTTGCTTGTCTTTGCCCCTCTGCAGTCCTGACCTTCCCGTCCCTTCTCCCCCCAGCAACATGTCCAACGCCTTGGCCAACGCGGCATGCCAGCGCTGCCAGGCGCGCTTCGCCCCTGCCGAGCGGATCGTCAACAGCAATGGGGAGCTGCACCACGAGCACTGCTTCGTGTGCGCCCAGTGCTTCCGGCCGTTCCCCGGGGGGCTCTTCTACGAGGTGAGGATGCACCCAGGACCCTCGGCCGGACTGCCGTGTCGGAGCCCGAATCCCCCACGCGCTCAGAGTCTGTGTGCTAGGAGCCCGTGGGCTGTGCCCAGCCATGGTCCTGACTGGTGACTGATGGGCAGTCACGCCAGGTCTTAGGCTTGCTGCACTTTGGGGGCGCATCCTCACGTATAAGGTGTGAACAGGGCCCCCTGGTGGCTATGGGTGCTGAAGGAGAGTCACCATTCATCCAGCCTCCTCTGGGTAGACTCTGGGAGGCCACAGGATGCAAACACCTTGCCCTGGTGGCACATACCCTCTCTTGGGATCAGACCGTGAACAGAATAAATATATGGTATATCAGATGGTGCTCAGTGCTCTGGGTATAGAGGATCTCGGGGTGAGGAGGGTGGGTGGCCAGGGAAGGTGATGTTTGAGCAGACCTGAAGGAGGTGAGGGAGCCATGCACACATCTGCAGGAAGAGCACTCAGCAGAGAGCACAGTCAAGTGCAAAGGCCTTGAGGTCAGAGCATGCAGGGAATTTGAGGTGCAGCAGGAGGCAGTCCGTCTGACATCTGAAAAGGACCACTCTCCTTGCTGTGCTGGGGAGAGACTGATGTGGGCAGGCACAGAAGTTGGAGAACAGGTGGGGCCAGAAGCTGGATTACTGAAAAAATCCAGATCAAGTGACGTGGTCTAGATCGGGCCATAATAGTGGCTCATAAGAGCAGATTGCTTAAATTTTCAATAAACTTGCCAGCTAGTGGCTAAACATAACTCTTAGTAAAAATTAAGTTATATAAATGTACAGGGAGATAAAATTTTATTGAAAACAAGGGTAACACATACTCAAAACTCACCATTTCCTAATTATTTTGTTACGTTTTCCTATCATCTATGCCTTCGAGGTTATTTGTCTATTGTACCTGGGTGGTGGAAACCGTACCCTGATGGCTGCCGCACATATCTGAACCCCATGCTGATGTCCTGTTGGGAGCTTGAGATTGTCCGTGGCAGGAAAAGTCACACCTTAGAAACTGGTAAATGCTACAGATCGGACCCCGCCTTCCAAAGGACTGGTTGGTCGTCATTTACCAGTGCACCAGTGGGGGGTGCAGTGGAGGTGGTGACCAGGGCTCAGAGGCTGGAGAGACTCGGAAGGTACAGCTGATGGGATTGACAGATGGGCGGCCATGCGGTGTGTGAGCTCCTCCTGGCCGTCGGAGGCTTCCAGCCTCCTGGGAAATGCTGGCCCACTGTAGAGGCACGGGGAGGGGAGGCCGAGCTCTGTTTGCAGTGGCCATGTGCCTAGAACAAAGCTTGGAGCACAGTAGGTGCTCAGGAAATAGTCATTGCTGAGTGAATTTCATGCCCTGCCACCTCTATGGGCCACTGGTAGGGCTGTATTCAGTTGTAGCCCGAGATGCTCATTTCAGAGAAGAGGACAAACTGACCTTTTTTAAAAGAAAAGAAAATTGTCAAGGGAGAAGAAAGCGGGGACAGGGTTTGGCCACACCTGGGGCTAGTGCAAGGGCCATCGTGCCCAGGCACATGGGGACGATGGCTGGTGCCCGGAGTGGCTCCTGTGCTGGCTGCAGGGCTTGGGGTTCTCCCTTAGGGCCCCATGTTTTTCCTGTGTCCCTCTTTCTGTCTTCCCTCTCCGGGTCTCTGGTGACCGCTGGGGGAAATGCCTTCTCACACAGAGAAGACACACAGGAAATAGGGCCAAGTGACATTTATAAATCAGACTTGATCCCAGCCCTCGGCTCGCTCCCAGCACCAGCAGGGCCAAGGTCTTGTGCAAATAGCCTCAGCTTTTGGAGGGCTGGCCTTGCCCAGTTCCGAGCTTCTCGGAGACCCCTCACTTTGCACACCCGCCCTGTGGAAAGGGCGAATTCCGGCTGGTTCCCTCCCATCTCCAGGCCTTGCCCCTGCTGCTGTGGGATGCCTTCCTCTCAGCACCTCCACCCCTTGCAGTGTTCCAGCTCCTTACCACCTCCTCCAGGAAGCCTTCTCTGGAAGGAGGGTTGGGTGCTGCACCCCGCTTCCTGCCGGTAGCAGTTGCACAAATTGGGGTGCTTGTCTAGCCTCCCCGAAGGCGGGTCCTGATCCAACAAAGACTGGCCAGCTGGGGGGAATAATGGGCATTTGCTTGAATTTTGTCTGCTGGCCCATTTGCAGTTCGAAGGCCGGAAGTACTGCGAACACGACTTCCAAATGCTCTTTGCTCCGTGCTGCGGATCCTGCGGTAAGGGCTGGATGCAGCACACTCCTCTGCACGCCTGGGGGTTGGGCAGGTGGATGGGAGCACAGGTGCTCTTCCCTGACCCCCTCTCTGAGCACCAGCTCTCTGCAGGCATCATCTCCCCCAAGCTCTGGGAGGGGAGCCCTGGGACCAGGCTGAGCTCAGGCGAGTGCCAGTGTGAGCAGGGCTTGGGAGGGGGCTGGGAGGGGGCTGGGAGTGGGGCGCACTCCTGCCTTAGCCAGCAGGGACCGATCTCTTCCAGGTGAGTTCATCATCGGCCGCGTCATCAAGGCTATGAACAGCAACTGGCACCCCGGGTGCTTCCGCTGCGAGCTGTGTGACGTGGAGCTGGCTGACCTGGGCTTCGTGAAGAACGCAGGCAGGTGAGGTGGGCCGGGGCTGGGTGGGAGGAGGGCCCTCACCCAGGCACTGCCTAGTGAGCACCGGCGAGGCTGCTAAGAGACCCCTGGTTTACAGGTGAGGGCTGGGGCTGGAGAGAGTAGGGCCTGCCCCAGGCCCGGGGGTGCTCCCAGGAGCTGGCTGACAGTAGGCAGCGAGGACGAAGGTGGCCGGAGCAGAGACCATCAGATGCAGTGGATGGACAAAGAGCTTTGGGTTATCACTACTGCCTGGCTACCCCAACCACCTACCTCCTTCCATGTACCCCTGGCTAAATGCTGCTGGAGAGAGACCACTCAACCAGGGGGCCCAAATTGACTCTGACATTCAGGGCACCCCGTGCTAGGGTTCCTTGGTAGACTAAGTCCCTGCCTTCCAGGAAGACGGCTCCTTTCTCCCCGCATTGCCTTTCTGCCCACCACCCTCCGGAAGCCAGGACGTCCCCTCCCACTTCCCCGAGGGGAAGGCTGTCCTCCCCCCCCCCCCGCCGCCCCCCCCCCCCCCCCCCCCGCCCTGCTCAGTCTCCACGCACCAGCACCATGAAGGCCCTGTCCCTGCTCCTCCCGAGGTCCTGCTCCTTCTAGCGGGGCTCCTGGCTGCACTCTATGCTCTCTTTCCCAGAGCTGTGCTCCCACCGCGATTGTATGCTGCCTGTCCCAGAGCCCTAGCTAGCTCCTCTCATGTGCCCCCCACTGCCAGTCTGCTCGGCCCCCACGACCTCCCTCTGCTTGCCAGACCCATGGGTCACTGCTGGTCCTCTCGGCCTCTCAGCAGGCTTCCTGGCAGCTTTTCCTTCTTGCTGAAATGCCTGCCTTTCAGGCGCCCAGGACCCTGGAAACCAGGGCTCCTGGTTTCCTCCGCTTCCTGCCCGTGCCGGGTCCTCGCCTCTCCTGACTTACCTCTCTCCCCCTGTCTCTCCATGTTGGCTCTCTGGGGGCTCGGCACATGGGCCTCATCTCTGTCCAGAGTCCCAGAGCTCTGATTGGCATGCAAGTGCTGGACGATTCAGACGCATACCTCCACCCCAGACCTTTCCCTCGGGTTCTCAGCCTCGTGGTGTCCACTGGGCATCCCAAATACAACAGTCCCCAACCAAACTCTACTTTCTCCTCGGCTGACCAGCAGGTCTCCCCGTGCCAGTGACGATCGCCGCCCACCCTCGGTGTCTGACTCCCCTGCCCTCTCCTACCCTGTCGCTTCTTTGTTCTCTGCCACCGCACCCCTTGCTCTGGATCGCACCCATTTGCTTGCTCCATGTTGCCTGGTGTCAGTCTTGGTGTCTGTAGGCCCCTGGGCAGGAGCCTGTCTTGTTGTCTACATGAGGGGCTGTGGAGGGCAGATGGTATCACAGGGGTCCCGTGCTGATCAGGGGTGGCCCGCCGGGTGTGGGCCTGAGCGAGGCCTCTTTCTTCCCAAGCTACAGCTCACACTGAGCCCCCGCCCCTGGGAGGCTAGAAGCGCTCAAGGAAGGAAAGGGCTCCTGTGAAGGAAGTGTGGCCCCTGCTCAGAACCTTCTAGCCCGGGGCCAGCCCTCTGAGGCCCATGATGCAGAACTTGACTGTCCACGTGGGGCAGGCCTGCGTGGGGCTGTCAGAACCAGAGGCAAAAGCATGTGCCGCCTGGCCTAGCCTGTCTTCATGTCCTCTTTGTCACTCTTGGGTGGAAGCGAGGAGAAGTTCTGGGAAGGGAGTAATGTCAGCCGAACACAATAACCTTCAGAATCTTCAAGTAGAGTTATGTTTATGATCAGTGTGATCAGGTACAAAAAGGAACCTGCTAGCGTGGAAGGTTGGCCCTCTACAGCTGGGAGAGCCACTTGGGAGGGAGCAGGGCTAATGACAGCCCTGCTGGTCTGGGTTAGTGCCACACAAGGCCCCATGCCAGGCTCAGGCTCCCTGCTGGAGATGTCCTGAGGCAGGGACAAAGCCCGGCTCCCCCCCTGTCTGCCCACCCATGCTGTATGCTGGACCAACTCAAGAGGGATCAGGCAGCTGCCGAGAAGGCGTGGGGATTGTCGGGCCACGTGTAGGGATCAAGGACACAGCATTGAGATGATGAGCCCATAGGCCGCATTTGTTGGATGTCACCTGGTGGCCAGCCCGAAATGTACTTACAACACTCAATTGTAAGTTATGGGCCACGTCCCCTAAACTCAGGGGTCATCTGGCAAAGGTGCCACCCAGGGAACTCAAACCCCATCCCCCTCCACCTGGATTCCCGCACCCCCCTTCTCTTAAGTCATTCGCCGCTGCCTTGGGGGCTCTTTCTTCAGAGCCCTGCTGCCTTGTGGTTCTTGTGGTGGGAAGGAGGTTGGGAGTCTAGCAAGCAGCCCTTGGGAAAGAAAGACACTCATTGTTCAGGAACATTCCTCTGGCCTCCTTGCCCCCCCTTTGCCACGGGGTGAAGTCATTGAGTATCTAGTAACTGCAAGTGAGCAGGGCCAGCACAGTCTCTGCAGAGGGGGTGGCCGATTGGTCCCATCAAGGGGTGTCCTTTTTTAGGGATTTGCACATCAGATAAGACAGAACCGGGTGCTGAGTTCCGCCCTTGGAGAGAGTGGCAGTGGCTTGCTGGGAGAAGGTGGACTTCTCCTTCACGAGTCTGGGTGGCATGCACCCTGGCGGGGGATGGGGTGTCTTTCTGAAGACAGTGTATGGCGGTGGGCCCCAGGTTTGGCATCCTGGGGCTCACAGCTCTGACCTGGCGCTCAGTGAGCTCTCATTGGTTTTCCCTTCAAAGCTGGGGGGCGGGCCTGAGAGCCTTTTGCCACAGATCAGGTTGCACAGGGCATCGCGGAACTTTTCGGCCACAAAGAAGTACATGACCGGGTCCAGCGCCCCGTTGAGGCTGGTGAGGCAGGAGGTGATGCGGTTTCCCAGGGCCAGGATGCGCTGGGCGGCGCATGAGGTGCTGCTGCCGTGGTAGTGCAGCACGTAGACGGAGCGGTGGACATGGTAGGGCACGAAGCAGACCAGGAAGATGGTGAGCACCATGGCGATCATGCGGACCGCCTTGTTCTTGAGGCGCTTCTCCACGCGGGGGCCCTGCCGCAGGCTGCGGATGATCAGCAGGTAGCAGGTGACGGTGGTGACAAAGGGGAAGGTGAAGGCCACGGCCAGGGACACGAGGGCGTGGTGGGAGGCCTTCTCCCGGTACAGCTGCAGGCAGACGACGGTGTGGTTGGTCTGCACGGTCTGTGGGCTCACCAGCAGCGGGGCCATGGCCACGGCCACCACCACCCAGAGGAAGGCACAGGCCAGGTGTGCGTAGAGGGGCCTGCGGAGCTTGAGGGACTTGACGGGGTGCACGATGGCCAGGAAGCGGTCAGCGCTGATGCAAGTGAGGAAGTAGATGCTGGCGTACATGTTGAGGTAGAAGAGGAAGCCGGTGAGTCGGCACGGGATTTCCCCAAAAGGCCAGTGGTTCCCAGAGAAGTGGTAGACGAGGCGGGTGGGCAGGACCAGCACGCAGGACAAGTCGGCCACAGCCAGGTGCATCAAGAATACGTTGGCCGGGGTGCCTGACTTGTGGTCCCGGATGAAAAGCCACAGGGCCAGGGCATTGCCAACAAAAGCCAGGATGAAATCCAGGAGGTAGAAGGAGGCGAAGAGGACGTTCTCCAGGGGCGTCTCCTGGCCGCATTGCTCTGCCGTGGCCAGGGAGGCATTGGCGGTCAGACCTGGGGAAGCCACCTCCGGGCCATTCATGCTTCAGCCGGAAGCAGAGCCGGGGGACGAGCCTGGAGGGAACAACCAGACAGGTTCCAGAGCCTGGGACCTGTGAAACCTCTTAGCTTGGCATCGCCTTGGGGACTACTGAGGGCACCCACCGTGTTCATCTGGGGGAGGATATGTGTCAGAGGCTTTCTGAAGCTCAGCAAAAAGCAAAAATGAAGCCAGGGCCCGGAGCTTGCCAGGCTGCTGCTGGGGCCTGCTTCCCACTGGCTACTGCATCCCTGCTGGGCACACAGGAGCCCGGGCCCTGGGCTGCGTACCGTCCCAGAAGTCCACTCTCTCAGACCATGGGGAGAGTGAGGAGTGAATCCCCTCTGTCTGGGCTCTGGGATGGAGGGACGGGCCCCCTATTTTCTGCCGTGCTCCCCAGGTGTGCTTTCTAAATGGCAGGGGTGGTTCGAGGGGCCCTTGAGCTCCACTCCCAATGGGTGGGTGTGTGGGTGGGTAGATCACCCCTTTCTTTCTTCCTCCCTCCCTCCCCCCCTCCCCCTCCCTCCCTCCTTCCCTTCCTCCCTTCCTTCCTTTCTCTCTCTCTCTCTCTCTCTTTTTCTCTTTCTTATTGATTTATTTATTTGAGAGAGAGAGGAGAGAGCCCAAGTCGGGGGAGGGGCAGAGGGAGAGAGAGTCCTCAAGCAGACTCCCTGCTGAGCACGGAGCCCAACGTGGGGCTCGATCCCAGGACCCTGAGATCATGACCTGAGCCGAAATCAAGAGTTGGACGCCCAACCAACTGAGCCACCCAGACGCCCCTAGATCACCTATTCCTGAGAGCTTGGTGTGCAGAGCCTCGCCCTTGCAGGGTGAACTCTGCTCACCCGGAGTCCTGGCACCCTTCTTGGCCCATCCCCCGCAGGCCTTGTGGCACTTCCCACCAACTGCAGTGCCAAGTGTGTCACTGCTTTATGCCTCTCTCCTGCCAGCCCCTGCCACCCAGGAGGGCGTCACCAGCAATATAGTGGTGGGCAGTTTCCTGGGAGGTCAGAGGCCCCTCAGGCCTTGATCCCAACGTCTCTCAAGCTTTCTGGACTCAGCCTACGAATTCCATTCTGGACATCCTAATGTGTGGAGACCTGTAGTTTAGAAAGCCCTGCACTTGGGCCTCAGGCCAGTAGGGGGGATTTTACTGCCTGGAGTAGTTTAGCAACCAGGAGGCAGATTCTTTCCTAGGAGAGGAAGAGCTATTTTTCCCAGAGGTAGTGAGACTGGCTATGGTCTTCCTGCCGAGTCCGGCAGCCCCAGAGAGACCTGGG